GAAGGTGGATCGGTGGCGTTAATTGCTCTGCTTGGCGCTCTGATGGTTGACGAGGATGGTATTTTCCGAGTTTGGTAACCGGATTCGGTTCTCTTTCCCTTCCTTTTTGTACCTTGGTTCTGTGCGGGCCAGGCTTGTTTTGACTGGTTCATAGGCTGCCCGGCGTGCGGAGGATGATGTTGGTTGCAAATTTTGCTTGTATATTACATCATGATCTAGGTTGGCGTGTGAGATTCACTTACCGTTCCTCTCGGTGGGTGATCGTGTTTCCGGTTTTCGATCTGGAGGAGACTAGGAGGTTTTCACTAAGAAATCCCCACAGACGGCGCCAAATTGTTTGACTCAAAAGATATTGTGATCTTTTCGAACAAATCAATTAAAGGGAATGAAGAGACAAATCTTAGTCAAACCTAATAACCTCCAGATCCATAAACGAATCAGAAAATAATGCATAATATGAAATGGGGGTGATCAATCTTATTGATATTTTTTATTTCTTCATTCATTAATCGATGAAGATGACTGTTTTTCGTCTTCCATGGGAATGCTTCTTTTTCTAAGAAGATTACAGAGAAGAGAGAGAAAAAAGACCCCCTTCCATTGAGAGACTCCTCCCCTATATATAGTTATGGAACCCTAACTATGAGTCAATACAAATTCGCACAACGTCTGCTTTCGTCGTTCCCTGAGTGTCGTTCTTTGTCACGGTAGGCGTTATGAGTCCGGGGTTTTGGAGCAAACCATGTCGTCTTTCACTATCTCGTTGCTTGGATGGGATCTTGGTCAGGCGGACTGCAGCGATCAGATTTTGATCAATACACATCTTAGGTGTGACTTTTCTAATCCATAACCCCATCTTTCTAATAATCTATATATTAATATAAAGCAGGGAATAGCAAAAGTGATGTGGCATATCTCAAATGCCAAGAAACCTATTTATCTTTTTTCTCATTTATCTGTAATTTTCTCCTTATTATTTTATAAAACTCAATTCAACTTCTGTTTCAAAAATCAGAAGTCACAACCGTTACTAAAAGTCACATACTCACAAACCATTCCCATTAATTAGGAATACCAAAAGCCACATAAGTTTTGTAACGGTGCATAATCTTTGTAACGATGATACAAAGATCAGTTTTACTTCAAAAGCATTGATCCAATCACAGAAACGTACTCCAACAAAACAGAACAGATGCTAATTATATTATAGTAGTTGTTTCTCTTTTTTCTCTCTTAATCTTTTTGATTGAATTTAATATTGTCTCCCTCAGAATATGCTTACAATTTTCTTCGTACGTACTCAGGATATGCTTCTGCATGTGGGATGGCACGGATACTCCATTAGTCACTATCAATTATCTAAACAAAGTGAGTGCTTTTTACTTTCCTAAGTAGGCTTTGAACTCGGAGTACACTTGTGATGTCAGTAGACAAATTTTAATATGAGAGGTGCGCAGTGGAATGGAACTTTACCAAGCCAAAGTGGCTTACTCTTGCAACAGCTTTTTATTCTGCTTACAATCATTTGGGTTACATCTATATCAAGGCCTCAAGGGCTATATATGAACATACTGAAGAAGAACAACACTAATGTATATATGGTAAAATTCTGTTCCACTTTTTTTTTTTCTTTTGAATTATTTTGTGGATGCAGCATATCTTTTTATTTTTTATTTTTTATCCGAAGATGTTTTCTTAAACTATGATTGCACGTTTTTCTTTATTGTCAATTACTTAAATTTGCATGGGAATACAAACTATATTTGGATGAATTGAGCATAGCAAAATAATTTACAAAATACAAATAAGTTACTCCATGTTTTAGAGGTTTATGCTCTTTTCTTATTTTATAGCTGTTGCATGCTTTCCACTTCAGCCAATCACATTTTTGTAGCTGAGTTTTTGCAAGTCTAGAAATTAAATTTCCACTTCAGCCAAAAGTTTTAGTTCACAAGATAGATGCAAATGGTTCCTATTTTGTTTTTGTTTTTCAGGACAAGAATGTAGTAACTATGTCAATTATGAACCTCTCTGAGATAAGAATGTTTGAAAGAAGCAACTAAGCAGGTCATTACTTTGGATGAAATAACAAAAGGATCTGCTTTAGTCCACTTTGGGCGAGAATAGAAGCAGTGGCAAAGCAATTTCTTGATCAATTTTTAGCTGATTAAGATTATGGTGTTTANGAGGGAAAGACAAACCGTGGGTATCTGACTTATCGAAGATGATACTATCTTCGAGGTCATCATACCGTTCGTGGGCGATTGTCCGCTTGAGTTTGTGTGTAATGGTGAATTTCACATGGTTGATTACCGTATCATCGCCGCCGCCAATGATCATTTGTATGACACGAGCTGGTGAAGGTGGTTTTGGGGGTCCTTGGGGTTGATCGCGCCCACGAGCGAACTTAACCCATCCTCGATAGCTCAGCAGTTCTTTCAGGTGTCCTTAGTTTAGCATTCTTACCACTTCCCGTCGCAAGCCTATACAGTCTTCGGTCTTATGCCCTCTTTCCTGATGGAACTCACACAGAACGTTCGATCTCCGGGTGCTTGGATCCGACTTCATCTTTTGCGGCCACTGCACCTTTGTGCCGAGCTTTTCTAGTGCATACACTATTTCTGAAGGAGAAACGCAAAAGTTATGAGCAGACAATAGTGGGGGCATACCTCTCTCGTTTCGGTGTGGCATGGTGTGTTGGGGCGTGACGTCTGCATGTCGTGGCGGAGGTGGGATGGATGTCCGGATGTAGGGCTGATGCCTTTCTCGATTGAAACGAGATAGTTGGTCCTTTTGACCATTGTTACGGCGGTCTCTCCTTATTTCGGTTGTACCGAGGTTAGCCGTTGGATCGGACCATTTAAGTCATCCTCATCTGCCCTTACTTCGGCACAATAGGCATTATGGATTTCTTCCCACGTGGTGGGAGGGTATTTTATGAGCCTACTTAGCAACTTTTTTGTTGCTTTCGACCCGTTTCTATTTAACCCATTTTGGAAGGCTGCTACCGCCATCCCCTCCGATACGTTGGGTAGGCTCATTCTTACGCTGTTGAATCGGGCTAGGAAATCCCGAAGTCCTTCGCCTGTCGTTTGCCTAACAGCGAAGATGTCGTTTACCCTGACTTCTGCCTTTTTCGCTCCTGCGTGAGCGGTGACGAATTTATCTGCCCTTTCTTCGAACGTTGATATCGACCGTGCCGGTAGTTGGGAATACCATGTCAGTGCTCCCCCTGTCAAGGTTTCACCGAACTTTTTCAGCACCACCGATGACACCCGCTCTTTTGACAGATCGTTGCCTTTTACTGCCGTGACGTAGTAGATTATGTGATCTTCTGGATCTGTGGTTCCATCGTATATTTTCAAGTATGGCGGCATTTTGAAGGTTTTTGGAATAGCGTGGGGGGCTGCCCCTTCGCTGTATGGTTGCTCGACGAATCGGCCGACGTCTCGTTTTGGTAGCAACTTCGGAGCGCCCGGTATTTTATCGACCCTTTCTTGATGCTCCTTCATCTGATCACGGAGCATTTTGTTCTCATTTTCCATTTCTTCCATTTTCTTTAAGATGGCTGCAAGTGCGTCGTTTCCTGCATCAATGACAGTGTGAGTGTTACCTGCGCGTGGAGTTTTTGGCTCATCGGCGACAGTTGCGGTGTCAGCGTGTATTGTGCCTCCGATATCCCTTTGAACAGGTTTGTCGAGTATGCTGCTCAAGGTGTTTGTTAACCACTCTTCTAATAGCCTTTTCACAGCCGGTGGTGCTTCTCCTGCTGCGGATGTTGAGGTTCCCCTCTCGCGCGAGACAGTCACGCTTTCGTGCGGAGAGGGGGGGAGGGGGGGGGGGGGGTAAGGGAGGGTGAGGTATCTCCATCAGGTGTAGCGCTTGGCGTTGTATTTTCATTGTCTTCCCGGTCGGCTTCGTTGATAGAATCCAGAAGGTTGTTCGTGACGCCTACTATTGCTTTTAATCTTGCTTCCCCCTTTCCTGCCATTGTTGGTCTTTGCAAGGCCAAGACGAGGTGATTATCCCTTTCAAGGATCTAGACGAAACTAAACTCTCAGCTGAAGAAATCCCCACAGACGACGCCAAATTGTTTGACTTAAAAGATAATGGAACCTTTTTGAACAAATCAATCAAAGAGAATGAATGGGTAAATCTTAGCTAAGTATAATGAACTCTAGAACAAAAGGTATAAACGATGAACGCAATGGGAAATATTTGTTGATCTTATGAAAGTCAGTGATCGCATAATGAGAATGCCAATCTTTAATGTAGAAGAGGTATTACAATTCGAGTTCCTAGCTGAAAGAGTCAAAAACGATCCCTTAACAAGGTGTTTTTCCCACTATATATAAGGGACAACCCCTTCTGAACCCTAGAAAACATACCATAGGGAATATTCGCGAGAATATTCCCAATACCCCCTATTGGACCTACACTACTGCAAAAGCTATACGTCCTCTGTTCGCTGTCTGTCGTCCTTCGCAGGGCGTCCAGCTTATGAAGATCTCATCTTCTGTCGTGTTTGTCAATGGCTGTGGTCGTCCAAATTTGGACCCATACAATTGGACCCTAAAACAGATATGAGTTCTGAACTTATCATTTTCGTTACTGAGTTTTCAATTAAAAAATATATATAAAATAACTTTTTTATACAAATAAAAAACTAAACAAACATGTATGGGTTCTTTTTGAACTAGCTAATATTGTAGCTTCGTCCTGCACTTGACTAAAGGGTAATCGGTGCACTAAGCTCCCGCTATCCACAGAGTACGGGAAAAAAGTCGAACCACAAAAGTTTTTATTGTATACAGTCTTACCCCATATTTCTGTAAGAGGTTGTTTTCTGCACTAGATTAGAACCTAAAAAAAAAAAACCTACTAAATTCTTCTTCTTTTTTTCTTTTTCTTTTGAAAAAGTCACTAGATTTGCGTGGCAAAATTCTCCAGTAATAACCAGCTCAAAAAGTTCAACTGAAGCCGAGCCGCGTGAAAACAACAGAAAATCACAACTTTTTCTCTGGCGCCGTTTCTTAGACCATTGACCGAAAATCTTCATCACACAATTCCCCACTATAAATACCCTTCCCCAAATTCTCTCCCTCAAAAATTCATTTCATTTCATTTCATTTCTCTGAAACTTTAATCATTTACTTTATCCCATGGCTGATATGAAGCAATCGACGAGCTTTCCCGGTGACCGGCGGCAACCGAGCCGGCTACAACGGCGGGCGCCGGCATCGATTCAAATAAACCGTTCAACCGATTGGAATGTGGCGATACCACTTTTATCACCGTTGATTTCATCGCCGACTTCTCCTGATTCTAGCAACTTAACTGTAGAAATTAATTCCGTTTGCAATAAGAAGGTGGAGGTAAAGGAGAAGCCGGCGGCGGCGGCGGCGGCGGCGGTTTTAGTGTTTAAGAAGTGGCAACATCCTGCGACGCCGTTTTGTTACGAGGCGACTCCGTTAGTGCCGTTTGTATTATGTACGGAAACAATCTAACGGCGTTTATTTTGAGCTATTTACTTTTCTTAAAATGTTATAAATAATACTTAGAAGATTTTGTTTATAGATTTCTATGTACACTGTTGATAATTTCTAGCTTTATTTTGTACCTTTTTTCCCCTTAGTAATTAGCATGCTGATTTTGTATAACTAGGTGATTAACAAGTTGTAAGCACAGAGGTAATTTCATTTACATGCTCATTATTTGCCGGAAAATTAATTTCCAGTGTTAATTATAAGGAAGTATTTTTCTGTATATAATAGTTAAGCCGACGTCAAAAAATATAATAGGTTAAACGTCTAATTTGATTGCTATTCAGGATTACTAATTACTTAGACCTCTTTATAACAACATCCTTATATAATAATACTTAATATAAAAGTCATGCTTTTTACAGAATTAATTTTTATGTTATATTATAATATATGTTCTTTATAATATTATTTTGCTATAATATTAAAAAATATTGGAAACAAACGAGGCTGTTATAATAAGGTTTGATTGTACAGTCAAAGTGTCAAGAAAATAGTTTGATTAACCAAACCAAATAAACACATAAAGTAAGTTAGTATAGGAAATGTAAGGTAATTAACTTTACCACTTGTAGGATATTCCAGAGTTAACAACTTAGTTTTTATTTAAAAAGTGGGAAAAGAAATAGTAAAGGGACAAATGATGTAAGTAGGAAATTATCTCAAGACTTTTAACACCGGCAAAATATATTAATTATACTATTCCGTACTATTTTCTTATGTGAATTATTTGAATGTTAGGTTTAAATTTGAATAGTCTGCTTTTATTTTTATTTTGTTGGTAAAATCATTTGCTATCTGGTATTCACCGGTTAACTATTACAGGAGAAGCGACTAATAAAGGAAAAACATGTTCTCTCATAATTTTTGTTATTCTCGGGACTTGAACTCTAAAGTTTTGATTATGAGGAATCTCGTTCATCTCATCGCCTGCTAGCCAAAGAAGAAAAATAATCCTATGCAAACCACCTTCTATTTATTTATTTACTATTTTGTCCATTTTATTAGGCAAGATATGGCGTAGCTTCGGCTGGTCGATGACACGACCCTTGATACAAAGGTGTGAAAGTCGAGAATTAGGATAGTAGAGTAGGTAGTTTAGAGTGTTCATAACCGTAATATTGGCACGCAGTCTCGTTTTCTATTTATTATTCACCATTTTGTCCATTTCATTATTTTGTTAGCATAATTAGCCTAATTTCTTGTCGATCAATGGTTAAGAGCGTGGGGCATAGGCAGATGTAGGGCAGGTTATTTTTTCACCTCTGTCTTCAGTTTTTCACGATTATTCTTGACTCTTGTTTTAGAGTGATGGAATGCAATTAACTTATATACATTCTGTATATACACTTTAAGCTTAGTTAATTAAACTTTAAAAAGATAATTAGTCACCATCAAGATAGATGGTAGTTAAAACTCTTCACTGCTCTAGTAATAACGTCATAAGTTAATACAGTTGCTACCAAATGCTTACAAGTTGCAATGATAGAATACGACGTATAAGCTCAGTGAATGTGATTTATACGTAGCATTCAATAAATGAGACTTACAAATCGCATTAAGTGATTACAACTTATGAGTCGCGTTCATCACTATATTAGTCGCACTCAAATATACGACTTTTATTTATCACACCGCAAGCTAAACATTTCGTTTTTCTTCCCATTTTACCGCTCGTTTGGATGATTGTTGGTGGAAATTTTGGGTCCACCAAACTGTATAGAGAACCTGGTACCCACAGAACACACACAATAAGAGATAAGTAAATAACACAACAGAGTTTTACAGGGAAAATTTCCAGCTCACGGGATTAAAAATCACGACCTACACTCGTAGGATTTCAACTTCTCTACTGAGCAAACTTCAAATTACAAACTATTGTAACCTAGGAATTAAACTCTTAATCCCTCACTCACTTATAATAACTCTATTACAAGCCTCTTTGTAATAACTCTATTACAAATCTCACAACTCGACTAACTCTAGCCAAGACACAAACACAAGGTTTATGGTTTTACTAATGACTTCCTACACAATGCTTCTAGCTAAGCTAAGTAGGATTACAAGTAGATCACTCTAACAAGGTTACAACACGACCAAGGGCATATGATAACACACTACAGGAAACTGGTCCTTTGTTCTGTTATTCTTTGTTCTTGAAGCCTTGAATATCACATGCAAGATAGCAGCACACTTGAGAGAGAACTTGATCAATTTCCAAATGTGCAAGTGTGTGTTTTTGCTTTGCTTCATGTTGATAATATACAAGTGATGTCACTTGGATGATGCAAGCAATTATCCGGTACAAGGTATTTTCCATAAAGTGATTGTTGCACTGTTTGCACTATTGCGTGTGTGTAGAGGAACAATTGCAGTGACTTTACAACTGTGGGGAGTTGACTGGTATAGTCAGCAAGGGAACTGATATCCATCTGTTCCCCGCGTCGTCTCTTTGACTCTATTTGTTGGAACTTGTGCTCGACTTGAGACTTGTTGTTCTTGATCACTTTGAGAATATATAACAGGTTCCCGATCTGGTTCTTATCATAAAGTTTGTTAGATCATCAAAATATAAAAAAACGCATAACTTATCAATTTTCCCCTTTAGATGATGACAAACTTATAATTGAAGTTCCCCTTGAGAACCAGATCACCATACAATATTTTCTGTATTCCCCCTGTCAATTTTCTTCCCCCTTTTCGCATCATAAAAAGATTATGCACAAGTAATAATAAAAAATAAGTCCAGCATGTTTAACTCATGCCACCTGTCTGCACACAAACATGGCTAAAAACAGAGCATAAGAGTAAAACATGCATAGCAAAAGGACGGGATACTCATTAATTTGAAAGAAAAGAGAACAAAATTAGTAGTACCATTGTTACACAACCATTCACAAAAAAATAACTTAAAAGTACCAGCCACAAAAACAACAAAAAAGGACCAAGGTAGGATAGACAACATTGAACTGGACACGGGGAAGGGGAATGTTTTAAGGAGCACTAAAAGGAGGATGCATGGATGAAGAGGCAAGGACTCTAAAGAGAATATCCATTCGAGCATTTGCAGACACTTGTTCGTTAAGCAGTCGCTCCTTCAGGTCCTCGACCTGTTTCCTGAGATCTGCATTTTCCTTGGTCAGGCGAGTAACCTCTGTGCCTTGTGCACTGCTGGAACCAGGTGCCTCTTTGTCACGACCCAAGTTCTCCCTCCATGAACCGTCGTAACGGAAACTAGTCTCTACGACTAGGTAAGCCTAACATTTGCGAAAAGAAACAAAAACATGGAAGCTAACAACTAACAGGTAAATTTTAATAAGAAATTAAGATGCCGCTCGGCATATACAATAACCAGTCTCGAAATGTACATAAACTCTCCCAAAACCCGGAATATCGTAAGTCACAAAATATAGAAAGAAAACGGTATTTCTATACTCTAGAGTCTAACAAAAGAAAAAGGTATGAAGCACAGTCCTCGGGTGCTGCTCATGATCTTCCCAACTTCGGGAGTACACCAGAATGTCATCAATGAAGACAATGATGAACTAGTCAAGATAAGGCCAGAATACATTGTGCATCAAATGCATAAATGCTGTTGGGGTGTTGGTCAGCCCAAATGATATCACAAGGAACTCGTAATGACCATACCGAGTCCTGAAAGCATACTTAGGGATATCTGGCTCTCGAATCTTCAACTGATGATAACCTGAACGCAAATCAATCTTGGAAAATACTCGGTCACCCTGTAACTGATCGAACAGGTCATCAATACGAGGCAAAGGATACCAGTTCTTCACTGTAACTTTGTTCAAATGGCGATAATCAATGGACATACGTATAGAACCATCCTTTTTCTTCACAAAAAAGACAGGAGCACCCCAAGGTGATACACTGGGCCTAATGAAGCCCTTATTAAACAATTCTTGTAACTGTTCCTTCAACTCCTTCAACTCTGAGGGGCTATATGATAAGGAGGAATAGAGATGGGCTGAGTACTCGGCAACAAATCAATGCCAAAATCAATATATCTGTCGGGCAGCATGCCTAGAAAATCAGCTGGAAACACATCAAGGAAATCCCTCACTACTGGGACTGACTCGACTGTAGGGGTATCAATACTGACATCTCTCACATAGGCTAGATACGCGTCACACCCCTTCTCAACCATTCGTTGAGCTTTAGAAATGAAATAACTCTGCTGGGAGTGTAATCTAAGATACCCATCCACTCTAATCGCGGTACACCTAGCATAGCCAGCCTCACGATCTTGGCGTGATAATAAAAAATAACATAATGGGGCGACAAACAGTCCATGCCCAAGATAACATCAAAATCTACCATGCTGAGCAATGATAAACCGTCCCTGGTCTCAAATTCACTAAGAGTAATCAAACACGACCGATACACCCGGTACACAACAAGAGAGTCTCCCACATGAGTAGACACATAAATAGGAGAACTCAAAGAATCCCGAGATGCACCCAAAAGCGGGGCAAAATAAGAGGACACATAGGAATAAGTGGAGCCCGGATCGAGTAGAACTGATGCATATCTATGAAAGACCGGAACAATACCTACTAATGATAGAATCAGAAGCAACAACCTCTTTACAAAAAGGAAGGGCATAGTATCTGGCCTGGCCTCCCCCTCTAAGGCGACCTCTACCTCCCCGACCTCCACCTCGAGCTGGCTGAGCAAGTGGAGTGGCAGCTAGTGCCGGAATCATGGCCTGAGAACCCTGTGGAACACCCTGTGGCTGAGAAGTCTATGGAGGTGCACTCCTCCTAAGTCTGGGGCAATCCCTCACCATATGGTGAGTTTCGCCACACTCAAAACAAGCTCTAGGAGGGTGTGGCGGCTATGGCTGGCTCGAGCCAGGTATGCTGGACTGACCGCTGATAGCACCCTGTGCAGGAGGCATGCTAGATACTGGAGGTGCATAGTAAGGCTCGTGAGGTTTTGGAGGAGCTGGAATACCACTGGCGACTGGAAGAGCTGAATGAACGGGGTGACTCACATAACCCCTACCATGACGAACTGCAGCTGGGGCACGGGCACCAGAATAATGGCCAGACTCTCGAGACCTCTTGGCCTCTCTCTCCTCCCTATCCCGAGCAAGTATGCCCTCCACTCTCCTAGCAATACTCACCACCCCCTGATACGAGATATCCATCTATAACTCCCGGG